CTTGCGCGACGGTCAGCGAACCTCCTGTGTTCTCCAACCCCTCGCGCTCGATGATCGCATCGATCGCCTTCTGCGCCGCCTCGGCGACAGGAGTGGGGCGGTTAAAGAACCCTTCGGTTTGCTCGGTCAGTGGGTAGAGGTGAGGGATAGACGCGCGACCTCCGCGCTCACTCAGTTCCTGGATAGATGAGATCGAGAGTCCACCCGCGCCGTGTGTGTCCAACATCACTTCAAACAGGAACATTTCGTAGCGGTCTTCGTCGATGCCTTCCTGCTGGTGCGCGAGGAGCGCAATACGCTTGAGCAGCTCGATGTTCCTCTTGTTTTGTAGGACCAGCGGGTCGAGGAGCATCTTCCATGTGTCAGGGTTTCCGAGCAACCCCTCGAGCTCGCGTAGCAGGCGGTCCACGAGCAGCCTCTTCTGGTGGGCGGGCAACCCATCGAAGATCGCCTCGTAACTTCGGGCGACGATCACCTCGAGCCCTGGGGACCCGGCGTAGGTGTCGAGCAGGCTGACCAGCTCGACAAGCCGCATGCGCTTGTTCTTGAACTCCGCCTTCCGCAACCCCTCGTATTGCGCCCTGGCGACCTCTTCACCGAACTCCGAGAGCAGCGCCGTGGCGGGCAGGATCTTCTCGTCGGCGTCCTCCATCGAGTCGCGCAGTTGCCTCTCGAGGTCAGGGAAATCCCTGGACCATCGCTCCTCGAGCTCTTGCTCTAGCGCCACGAGCGCCGCCTTCTCCAACACGGGCCGCTGCCTCGAATCCTGGATGATGTCGAACATCAGCGTCAGCCGCTCGTGAAGCCAGCGCGTGTGCTTGTGGGTGGTCTCCGGGTAGAGGTCCTCGCTCGCGAGGAGGCCGAGCACCCTGGTGAGCTCGTTGGACTTGCGCAACCTCTTGGTGGCGCTCGAGTGGTTTGTTTTAAAGATGGTGTAGGTGGCGTCGATCAAAAGCCTCGCCATCTTCTCGTCGAACTCGTCCGAGGGCGCCTCGACCTGCTTCGTGCACGCCTTGACCAGGCGGCGCTCCCAGTAGGTCCACCCCGCGTCGTGCGCGCTCGAGATCTGGCCCATCGACGCGTTTGCCTCGGAGCCCTCTTTGTCGAGCGCTTCCTTCAGGTCGCGCAGCGCGTTGATGTTGTCATGTTCACACCGCGCCAGCGCGTGCTGCATGGCGCTCACCATGAGGTTGTTTCTGGCGATCCACTTCTCGCGCTCCTGCATGCTGATCGCGGCGATGGCGGCCTGCTTGACCACGCGGGCCTGCGGGGATGTCGAGATCATGAGCGCCAGCAGCGCGAGGCGGTCATCCAAAAAGAGGGTGCTCTCTTCGCCCGGAGGATTCTCGGCGGGGATCACAGGGAAGAACTCGCGGCGCGTGAGCGCCGCGATCCAGGTGATAAATCCCGCCGGATCGACCTGTCCCTTGCAAAAGGGGGAGTGCTCCTCGAGGTAGATCTGGCGCGTCGTGATGATGATATCGCGCGCGATCCTGACCGGATCTTTGCCGCTTGTCGGATCGATCTCCTTCTTCGCGCGCAGGATGTCGCGCAGCGCTGCCTCGCGCGCGCGGGTCTCTTGTCGGTCGATCATCGGCTGGCTCCCTCGGGTGGAATCGCCTCGTGGTGCTCTCTTCGAAGATCTTGATCTACCCTCGCTCTCCCGGCTCGCGCAAGCATCCTGCCATTTGCCGCGCGCTTGCCGCCCCTGCGCGAGTGCTTAGAGTTTTCTTGTCGGCGATGAGGCGCGCTGAGGCCGCTCGAGTGAGCAGCCCCGCCGATTCGAGAGGACGAGGGTCTTTTCGAATCTCGACGCCTCGATAAAACGCCATCTCAAAGAATCAAACACCAGCTCTCTTTCTCCACGCGTCAAAAACGCATGGCTCTCAGGGTTTGGTCAGCACATGGAGGATATCGTGTATTACAGACACGATCCATTCGGACGCCGCGTTGTGCGAGAAGCCACCGTGCCCCGAAAACTCGCTGAAGAAATCGCCAAGGAGCGCGACCTCTACCGTCGCGAACTCGAGCGTGTTCAGCGCGAGAATCAGGCACTTCGCCAGCGCGTCGCGAGCGACAAAACACAGCTTTCATCACAAAACGCCGCCGCGAACGCGTCTGCCCGCGAAAGCAAGATCGCAGACCTCGAGCTGCTCAACCAGAAGTTGCAGCGCGAGCTCGAGGCTCGCATCTCTGAATCCAGAGAGCAGGCCAAGACCATCGAGGTGCTCGAGCGAGAGCTCGAGGCTATCGAGGATGCGATCGAGCCTCCTGAAGAGCAGGAGGCTGCGCCCGAGGACAACGCGCCGGAGGAGGACGAACCGCGTGCTCCTGAACTCCACGACGCTGCCAGCGAGATCGAGCGCGAGCGCGTCCGCGCGGTCAAGCGCGCGCAGGAACTGCTCGAGGATCTCGAGCGCCTCCAGCGCAAGCAAGACGAGGAGTCTGACGCCAGAGCTCGCGCCGCAAAGCGCGAGGTGGTGTCCGCATACCTCGAGCTTCGAGACAACCTCTCCCGCGCCATTGTTCAGGCGCGCGACCACGGCTCCTCGTGGGCCGACGGTATGGAGGCGCTGCGCGATCAGTTCGACGCCATCAACAAAAGGCTCGGCGTCGAACGATTCGGCGAGGTCGGGGATACGTTCGATCCCAAGGTTCACGAAGCCATCGGCGCGATGCATGTCGATGACTTGCCTCAGGACAGCATCGCGCACGTCGAGCGCGAGGGCTTCCGGTTCTCCGAGGACGGCGCGCTGCTTCGCTCCGCGCAGGTCGTCGTGGCCAGATAAGACGACGAGACGTTGAAGCAATCAGGAGAAGCGTCACGAGAACTTCTCCGAGGAGAGACGCTATGAAAGAGCAAATGAGAGACCTGTACGAGGTGCTCGGCGTCCCCGAGAACGCCGATGAGCGCACCATCAAGAAAGCTTACCGGGCGTTGGCCAAGAAGAATCACCCCGACGCCAACCCTGATAACCCCGCCGCCGAGGCGCGCTTCAAGGAAGCGAGCGCGGCGTATGAGGTCCTGTCCAACCCCGAGAAGCGCGCGCTCTATGACGAGTTCGGCGTGGACTCGCTGCGCCAGGGGTTTGACGCCGAGCAGGCCAGAGCCTTCAAGAATGCCTATGGGGGAGGTGGCTTCCGAGGCGCTAGACCAGGTCAGGGCTTCGGGTTCGACTTTGGCAACGGCGCCAACGTGAACCTCGATCCGAACGACCTCTTCGAAGAGTTGTTCGGTGGCTTTGGCGGCGGGTTTGCTGGCAGAAGACAGCCACGATCGCCACGGGTCGCGCGAGGCCAGGACCTTCGCGCCTCGGTCACGCTCGACTTTCGCGCTGGCGCGCTCGGCGCGCGACGCGAGTTTCACTTCGAGGGAGGGCGCTCGATCAAGGTCAACATCCCGAGCGGCGTCGAGGACGGCGAGACCTTGCGCCTTCGCGGCAAGGGGATGCCAGCGCCAAATGGTGTCGAAGGGGGCCAGCCTGGAGATCTCCTGCTCGAGATCCATCTGACCGAGGACGAGAACTTCTCCCGTGATGGGCTCGACCTTCACCTCGACATCCCACTGACTCTTGGCGAGGCGATCCATGGCGCGCGCGTCAAGGTCCCCACGCTCGATGGCGGTGGGCCTCAGGAAGTCCCCGGGCACGATCCAGTCGGGTGTTCGCCTTCGCGGCAAAGAGTTTCTAGGGGAGGGGCGAAGAACGATCTCTGCACGTCAACCTCGGTGCGGTCACCTCCGGAGAAACGCGCGCTCGGATCCTCGAGCGCGCACCCTCGAGAAAGAGGTTCTCGCACACAGCATGCCGCCTGATGCCCGAAACAGGCCATCGACAACCCCTTCGCCCCGGAGCAAGGTTGTCGCTGGCCTGTCTTGATGGGGAATAGCCGCCTTCTATTGTTTCTTTCATTTCATGAGCTTGCGGCACATGCCTGCAATCATTATCATGAAACATGACCTGACATCCTCTACCCCCACGACGAGAGAAGACGACGATGGCTATCACACCACGCTCCCTGTTCAGAAGCCCCTTGCTCCTCGCGGTCAGTTGCCTGACATGGCTCGCGCTCGGAAGCGCAGCATTTGTCATGTTCACCGGCCCTTGCAAGGCTTCCAAAACCCACGTCGAGCCTGCGGTTCAGACCTACCAGGTCAAGCAAGTCGAAGTCGTCGAGTACAAGCAGAAGGTCGAGCCCAAGAAGGCCACGGGCCACGGCTGGCTTGGCATTCAGATCATGACCCTGAATCATCACCGCGCCAAATACGCGGGCGTCGCTAACGTACGCGGCGTGCTGATCACGGGCATCATGGACAACTTCCCCGCCCAGACTTCCGGCTTTGCTCCCTATGACATCGTGACCCACTTCGACGGTCAACCTGTCACCACCGCACCTCAACTCAAGTGCCGTGTGATGGGCTCCGAGCCCGGCGCTCGCGTCCCCGTCAAGGTGATCCGCAAGGGCCAGACGCTCACGCTCTACCCGACGCTCGGCGATCGACCTCGCGAGCTCGTGAGGCGCTGAACTCCACAGGATGCAGCGAGAACAAAAAGAGGCGGCGCGTTCCTTTGATTCCAAAGGAACGCGCCGCCTCTTTTTGTTCTCGCGCGCTGTCTTGGTTCTCGCGCGCTATTACTGATACGGCGCTGACTCCTTATCCATCCACTTCATGAGCGCCTTTTGCTTGTCCTGCCCCTCTGCCTGGTTCGCTTCGTAGAGGTTGTTCTTCTCTTCGGGGTCCTCGCGCAGGTCGTATAGCTCGGGCGGGCTGGCGTCGAAGTTGTAGATGTACTTCCTCGGCCAATCGATGACCGCGCCGCACCTGTTCTTGTACCAGCAGAACGCGAACATCCGCCGCATCTCCTTTCGCTCCCAGGGGATGTCCAGCCGCCAGCCAGGGTATCTCCCGCCGACTAAATCGAACCCTGCGTGGTGCACGAGCGTCGGGAGGATGTCGAGCTGAGAGACAGGCCGCGCGACGCGCTCCGCCGGGATATCTGGCCCGGACAACACGAGCGGGATATGCAGCGCCTCCTGATACAGGACGTTGTCATGCTGGAAGCGCCCATGCTCGCCAAACGCTTCGCCATGATCTCCCACGATGAGAATCACCGCGTCCTTCCTACGACCCTGGCGCTCGAGCAGCGCGAGCACTTCCTCGACGACCTTGTCCAGATAGTTCACCGCGCTCCGGTAGCGATCGATCGTCTCGTCCTTTGCCCCCCACTCCTTGCTCCACC